TGATTTTTACTTAAATGGTTTAGTATAACCCAAGGCGAATTCAGATAAGGTGGTGTTATTCAATCAGCTGATAATTTTTTTCTTAATTCGCCTGGTTTACGTAGCTGTCAAAGTTTGTTATTGTTTACATTTTTATATTTAAAAATTTCCGTTAAACGGAGAAAAACTTCGTTAATATTTTGAATTATTTATGTAAAAAATCTAAAAATACCAAGCATCTCGTAAGCAAATATAATTTTATTTAAATAATGGCATAATTGGTATGTATACAAATATGTTATTTAGGAAAAATATTTTTTTCCATTAAATGTTAACATATTAAACAATATTGTTTTATATTTTATATTAATATTGTGTAGATAACGTGATTAACTAAAAAAAATCTCTTCCGGAACACTTTATATAAAGAAACGCACATGAAGAATTTAGCCGAACAGCGGCAGCATACTTTTACATATTTCTTAATTTTGAAATCTATTAAATGTTAACAAATTAAACAATATTGTTTTATACATACACTATGTAAATAAAGAGATTAACTAAAAAAACCCTGTTCCGGAACGCTTTATATAACAAAACCCATATGAAGTATTTACTCGTCCGGCGGCTGCTACATTATGGCCAAATATTGAAGATTACTCCGCCGGAGTAGAATTATCCATTCGCAACAAATATTCATTCATTCGTAATATAATATTTTCATGAATATGTACTTTTTTATGTTTATTTTTCACAAAAAATTAAGTTTTACTAACTTCAGGCACTCACTTAAATTTTGCAAATTAATCTGCCGGAATAGAATTTTTCGTTTGAAACAAACATTATTCAATTCAGAAAATATTTTCTTCACAAATTTTAATATCTTTATCATGATGTAATAAGTACTTAGTGCATCCTGATCTTTATCTTTATTTAAAAAAAATATATATATAAAAATTTTACAAAAATTTTTCATGAAATGAATTCGCCGTACTTATGGTTTTTGACATCTACGTAAACCAAATGCATAAACAAAATACATGTAAAATGTTGTTGTTGCAGAACTGCCACCACCTTATCTGAATTCGCTATTACTACTATTGTTTTGTTACTTACATATGTTTTTGGCTGAGCACTTGGTTCTTGTATTCCTTTTTTCTCTTGCTTATGTGAGAGTACATTGTTGTTGTTTGCTATGATTTTTGAAGAAAGTATGTGTGTATGTGTGTCCTAACAGTGTATTTACATTTGCGATTTATTGTTTTGCTTTTAAAAATAAAAATCATAAGCAGACCTTTTCAAAAATGTTTACAAAATAAAAATCAATTGTAGCGAGTTATTTTGTTTTTCTTTTCGGTTTCTCTCAATCACTTAAAAAAATCTAACATAAAGGTTTCTCTCAGTGATAAACTGCAAAAACACAATTATAAATGGTGATCACAGCAATTAACCTTATAAAAACAAAGTGGACCCGTTATTTTTAGTCTCTGGAAAATTGTATTAGAATGTGTTAAAATAAGCTTAATTTTTTCGGAGTTTTTTTAAATTTTGATTGATAACTCTCTCCGATGTAAACCAATTTTGCTCATTTTCAATGCCAAACTGCCTAGAACAAGAGTGAATCTTCTGGCCGAATTTCATTACTTTTTTAGCATCGTTTTTACGTAAGCGTGTTTTACACAGAAAGACAGACAGACGGACGAACAAACCTAAATCGACTTTTATCATGACTCTATTCCTATCGAGAGCTAATTAAAATTGATGTCGAAAACGATACAAAGAGCGCATAATTCATGATAGAGTAAAATGTATTAAAGGACTTATAAAGAATTTGTAAAAAATGAAGATAAAATTAAAAAAAAATCATATTATTTTTAAAAATCACTAAAAGCACCGTAAAAAATTGCAAAAAGTTCTATAAATACCCGTTTTTTACAAAAATCTCCGGTAATACGAAGCTAGTTTATTATTATTAATACGAAGCTAAAAGGCACTAAAAATACCCAAAAAGCACCGAAATGGCAACACTGGATCAAAGACGAACTTGTCAACAAGAGCGTAAAAAATACAACAATTTCATTTAGTTGTTTGACAGCATTTAATGGTGCCGCTTTGTTTTACAAATTCAAGCATAATTTGTAAAAACAAAAACACAACTTTCAAAAACAAGGCAACATTTGCAAAACCCACGTACACTCCAAATATTTTTGTAGAAAGAATACAATGAAAGTAAATAAGATCATTCTTCTTTAATACTATTTTGCACGTTTTAAATTAAAATGTTATTCTTTGTGAAGAAATTATAATTTTTATATTCATCGATTATATTTTATTTGCAAAAATTGTAAAATATGTCAAAATTTGATTTCATATTAAAGCCACAGATATTATCTTTAAAATAGTGTAAATAGAATACAGTACTTTTCGCTTAAAGGCCAAAAACAGATGTAAGACAAAACAATCCTATTTACTTGCAGGTTTTTTTTTTAATTTCATACAAATTATTTTTTCTTAAGTCCACTTCGCCTATAGGCCATTTTCGTATAAAGGCCAAATTTTCTTTGCATGCATAACTAATATTGTATAGAAAAAAATTTCCACACTTTTTTTAACAAACTCGCAAAATTATTGTTTGAAAAAATATAATCATTTAATTTAAATTCTTTAAAGAAATAACCTAAGATTACAGAATTTTGTTTAAAAAAGTGGTTTTATTGAAGAAAGTACATAATTTGTATATAGTCCAAAATGTGTATAATATATTATATTAGGATTCAGTAATAGTCCATAAAGTGGCTTAAAAAGAAATTCGGATATAGTCCTAATTCGCTTATAGTCCACAAAAATTGTGCAACTGTAGTTGTGGACTATAAGCGAAAACTACTGTCGTTTACTTCCAAAAGGTTAAAGGTCAATTTTCATATTGTATTCAAAGTCAAATAGAGTAAAAATACAAGGTACGAAGATACCTAAACTCTCTTCTACATTCTAGTGAAAACTTTTCGATGGAGACTCGTGAAGTTCTGGAGTTATTAACCAAAACCTAATTTAAAGCAAGTTTTTTATACAAACATTAGTATAAATTTCAATACATGGTAAATTACATTGTAACTCATAAACCACTGGTCCAATTTAAATGTAATGTACACGAAAATTATTGAGGACGATCAGACCTTACTGAAAGTATCTTTTGTCATCACAATATTGAAAAAAAGGTGGAAAACAGCGTGTTGGAAGGGAGCTCTTCGACTTCAAAAATTATTTTAAAGCTTCTTGCATCTATAAATGAGATCAAATTTAACTCATCATAAACTTTTCGTAATTTATACAATACACTAAAGCTAGATCCATATTGCAATACTAATTAAATTTAAGGGTTTAAGACAAATAATTTGTTCACCAGAAGTTAAACAATTAAACTGAAATAAATTTTCAATTTTATTTATAACTTAGTACTACCATTACGTTTATAAAACCCGTAATGTATACTATAAGAAAATTCAACTTTAGCTAAATCGGTCCTTATTTGCAGATTTGTGAAGCTTTAACATATTTTTTATAATCGAAGTACTCTCATTTAATACCACGTACCTCACCTTGTATTTTAACAGGGTGGTAACAAAGTTAAGTAATTATACCCTACACCACTTCAGTGGGGAGGGTATATTGGGTTTGTGCTGATGTTTGTAACGCACAATAATATTGGTCCTATACCCATCCTAAAGTATACCAATCGGCTTAGAATCATTTTCTGAGTCGATTTAGCTATGTCCGTCCGTCCATTTAAACCTTGTAATCAAACAATGAAATTTGGTACATGATCTTCTATTGTCCCAGGGACGAAGCCTATTGATTATGGTTAAGATCGTTCCATTATTTCACCTAGCCCCCATACAACTGAACCCCCCAATAGGGCTTGTAAACCTTGTAATCAAACTACAAGTCGCAATTTTGGAGATAATTCAATGAAATTTGGCACATGATCTCTTATGGTACCGTAGACGAAGGCTATTGAAAATTGTTAACATCGGTCCATTATTTCACCTAGCCCCCATACAACTGAACCCTCGAATAGGGCTTTTAAACTTTGTAATCAAACTACAGGTCGCAATTTTGGAGATAATTCAATGAAATTTGGCACATGATCTTTTATGGTACCGTAAACGAAGCCTGTTGAAAATGGTTTACATCGGTCCATTATTTCACCTAGCCCCCATACAACTGAACCCGCCGAATAGGGCTTTTAGGTTCATAATTATGTTTAATATACTCATATCTCGACAAAAAGCTGCAAAAACCAAGTTCTACACAAGATGATCATATGACCCTAGCCCCTATGATAAGCCCCCATCAAAATTTCACTTAAATGTCCACAATTTTATTCAACAATATATATCTGAGGCAAGGTACAATTCAATTTAAATGTTTTATTATGGCAAATAAATCACATTATATTTTTGTCAAAGGTGTAGGGTATTATATGGTCGGCCTCGCCCGACTATAATTTCTTACTTGTTTTTAATACGGGGCTGTCTGATATATTTGACATTGAACAATATACTATGAAAATTGATATACTATTTATTTGCACGATTTTAAAGACAATATCTTTAGCTTTTAAATGAAATCAAATATATTCTGTACTTAAAGGAATTTCAAAGTTATGGGCAATTATATGTATATTAGAGATATAACTATTGACATTCTTTACAAATATGCAAATTGGTATATCATAGTCGAATAGAGTATTAAAAACTATAAGAAACTACATTATTATTTTTTCGCGGTTGGTTAAAAAGTTCACGTACCAAATGTCTGTCGGTCTGTTTTTTAAATCATTTTTTTGAAGGCTACATATGTCTTCAGAATGCAAATCTTAGATAATTAATTAGATATGCTTTTAAGAATTTAGATGTTTAAAACCAGTAAAATCGGTCCATAAGAATCGAGGATATGGTCAAAACAAATATGATCAGCAAATTATTTTTTATGGACTTTTTGATTTAGGGATAGGGATTTCGGGATAGGTTAGGTAGGCAGGTCGTCCTCGCGATGTCATCACTGGGGACACACTTGGGTCCAGAATTTTGATCCCTTTGTGATACCTGAAACGAGAGAGAACGGTCGGCGTATTAGTACACTTCAACCTAATCACTCTGGTTTCCACCGAACCAGTTTGTCGCACGAATATAGGAATCTATCTTTCGGATATCAACCTCCGATAGATCCGCTAAGTCATGCAGAAAATAGCTACCTAGCAGACCCATTCTGTGATCAGCTAGGGCAGGACAATGACAGAGGAAGTGAGTTATACTCTCTTCTTCCTCTTCATCCTGGCAGCTCCTGCAGAAGTCGTTACTGGGTAAGTTCAGTCTTCTTGCATGGAGTCCGAAAGGCCAGTGGCCAGTTACCACTGCCGTTAAGTTCCGTAGATTAAATCTCGGAATGTAGAAAAGGGCTTGGGATCTTTGTGGGTCGTAAGATGGCCACATGATCCTTGCCTGTCTACAGGTGGCTTCAGTCGACCATCTGCATTGCGCAAGCTCATATAGTTTTTCACGTATCGAGCGTTTGCAGGTTGAAAGCGGTATACAGACAAAAGGGTCGGTATGCTCTCCTGCAAGCGAGGAGCCTAACTTGGCAAGAGAGTCCGCGATGCTATTACCAGGAATTTGCTGATGTCCTGGAATCCAATACAGTCCTATTGTGGAATGTTTCGCCATCTCGTTAAGGGATGCCCGGCATTCTAGGACTAAGTTTGACGTCGTGTAGACACCACTTAGAACCTTAAGGGCTGCCTGGCTGTCGGTATAAATTCGAATATTAACACCGTATATTCGATAAAACCTGAGCCAGTTTGCAGCCCGTTTAATGGCTGATAGTTCAGCCTGAAGGACGCTACATTGGTCAGGAAGCTTGAATGATACTTCCGTTCCCGAATGTGCTATGTAAAAGCCAACGCCTACACCATGGTTTGATTTTGAGCCATCAGTGAAAACCTTATACGATCCGTCATGGAGGATTGTTTCCATCACATTTGGGTCGTGTCGGATATTCACCGAAAAGCTTCTATCAAAAGACGGTTTGGCGATGCAATAGTCGATATTGCCAGGAATCTCTCCTAGACAATTGAGAATGGTGGAGTGACCTGACTGAATCATATGCCACATACCAATTGTATTGAGTCTAATAGCCGCGTTGAGGGCAACCTCTTGGGCCATTAGATCAATAGGTAGCCATCCCATCATGACAAAGAGAGCCTTTGATGGGGTGGTGCGGAGAGCCCCCGTTATCAACAGAGCTGATGTACGAAGGATTCCCTCAAAACGTTTGCGGTGTGAGTCCTTTTGTACAGACTTCCACCATACAAGTGCACCGTACAATAGTATGGGCTTGACTACCATGTCGAAGAGCCATTTGGTATTCTTGGGGTTTATGCCCCATGATTTGCCAATTGCTCTCTTACACGAGTATAAGGCCGCAGCCGCTTTTGATACTCTAGATTGAGTGTTCAAATGCCATGATAGTTTTGAATCTAGGATTACTCCCAGATATTTAGCACTATCCGATAACTTCAATTCTATCCCATTCAGTCGTGGGAGAGTGAAGGTGCGTATCTTGTACTTCTTAGTGAAGAGAACAAGTTCCGTTTTCGATGGATTTACACCAAGGCCACTGACGTTGCTCCACGTACTGAGTGTCTTGAGTGCAATCTCCATCCTTTGCGATAAAGTATCCAGATATTTGCCAGATACTACTACAGACACATCGTCTGCATATGCTATTACCTTAAATCCCATAGATCTAAGATCCATAAGAAGTGGGTTCAACTCTAGGTTCCACAGAAGTGGAGATAGAACTCCACCTTGTGGGGTACCGCGATTTGCCACTTTTGTGACATTTGCTGCTCCCATTTCGGAGATAATGATTCGTTGAGTCAGTAATCTCTTGATGAAAGCTGTTATTGGTTGGTTTATACCCAGGCCAGTTAGGGCCGTTGTTATCGACCCAGGGTGAACATTGTTGAAAGCCCCCTCGATGTCCAAGAAGGCAACCAGTGTATATTCCCCTTGCGCTATTGTCTTTTCAATGTGACAAACTAGCGAATGTAATGCAGTCTCAACAGATTTTCCCTTCATGTAGGCATGTTGAGATGCTGATAGATGGTCAGGTTTGATATGTATTCTGAGATGCAGATCAATTATCCTTTCCAAAGTTTTGAGAAGAAAGGAGGATAGACTAATTGGTCTAAAATCCTTTGGCTTCGTGTGAGAGGTCTTTCCTCCTTTCGGAATGAAGACCACTGTGCACTTGGTCCAGGGTTCGGGTATATAAGACCATTTTAAACAGGCATCATATATCCGCGTTAGCCAAGGCATAAGATGGACAGCATTGTATTGCAAATCCGCAGGTATTATACCGTCAGGACCCGGTGATTTGTAGGGGTCGAAGCTGTTTATCGCCCAGTTGATTTTATCTTCATTTATGGATATTCCTGTATCAGCTGGGAGATCTGTAAACTGCATGTCAGTCCCGTTTGCGCTTTGCATTTCTTACCAGGTTCTTGAAACGATTAACCGAGGTCTTGTAAGAAATCCAGTTTCCTGTTTTCTTTGCCTCGTTAAACAGTCTGCGCGTCTCTTTTCGAGATTTCGCAATGTCCGCAGACCACCATGGGGGCCTGCATCTGCCCTTGTGCATATTCTGTTTACAAGACAGTGAAGTCGCGTGTTTGAAAGCTTGATTTATGGTTTCAACCGCGTTTTCTATGTCCGATCGGTTTTCGATGATCGGTACATCCTGGAGTGAACGTGAGATTAGCCCCATTTGCATTTCCCAATCTGTTCGTCTCCTGTTTATAAAGGGCTTTGGGGCCACTTTGTCAACTACGATTTCAAAATCGATGTACTGATGGTCAGAGAAAGAGCAGTCACTTGAGACTCTCCATCCCCTTATCCTATCATGATGCATAGAACTAACCAGCGTAATGTCAAGAACTTCCCTTCTGTTTGAAACAATAAAGGTCGGTTCGGATCCTGTATTTAAAATATCAAGATTATTGCTTAGAATGAAGTTAAAGATTGACTCACCTCTAGCGTTTATGTCCGAGCTTCCCCAAACAGTGTGATGGGCATTGGCATCAGCCCCCATGATGATCGGCATGCTTTTCGAGTTTGCCATCTCTATGGATCTGCAGACCAGGTTGTTCGGTGGCTGGTCGCTGTGGTCGTGAGCCATGTACGCCGAGATAACCAATATAGCACCTACACTGGTCTCCCATATGGCTGCTACGGTGTCTTCATCACTGAAATCAGAAAGAATGAAGATGTTGAGACTGCTTTTGGCTACTATACAGGATCGAATCTTACCAGATCCTTTTGCGTACAATAGCTTAAAGCTTTTCATGCCTAGTCCACTCACCCTTTCTTGGTGAATCCAGGGTTCCTGGATTAGGGCGAGCTCCTCCCCACTTACACCCATTCGGAGGAGCAGTGCAGCCGAGGCTGCTTTGGAGTGGTGGAGATTAATTTGGGTTACTCTCACCATCTCCTTTTTTGTCTTTACGCAACACTGTGACGTTGGCATCCTCCTTGTCAGAGGCAAGGAGATCGTCCTCGTCAACTGACTCTTCCCCCTCCTTAACCAACTTAGAAGTTGATTGACTCAGCGAAAGGTCAGTCTCGTCGCAAGACATATCCGCAGCGGATTGGTCAGGATCGGGATCATCCTGTTCCAATAGTCCCTTGTCATCGCCTCGGTAGACACGAAGGAAGATCGACTCGAAGCCGTAGTAGACCTTCCCTTGTTTCTCGCGAAGCGGCGCCAAAGACTCCTGGTTCAGGATCACAACAATCCTTCTGGAGCTTCCTACAGGTTGAGAAACCCTGACGACCTTCCAATCTTGAGTTGGAAGATCCGGATTGCCAACCTGTAGAAGCTCCAGTATCGCTGCCTTTTTATGTGGTTCCGCAGGAAATATGGCGGTGGATTGTACAAACAAAGTACAATTTTTAACTTCGCTGCAGGACATTCAAGGTATCCTCCAATAACTGTCAGCATGATTATACTCTAATGATAAGTAATTTTATGTAGGCCATGTGTTAAGCAACTCTACGAATATTGGTCCGGCTCTGAGAAATTAAGTAGAATTGTTTGGTACCAATGTCTTAAATGACGTTTTTACAAAAACCGCAATATCTCGGAAACTAGAGACGGAAATTTTCATAACAATTTTTGCACTCAGCAGGAATCAGCTATTTTTTATTTAAAATGCATTTTCAAGGATTGTCTAGTGTTATACAACATTGGCCATCTCGTGGTGGTATAACGCAAGTATATACTTTTTGACAATTTTAACACATTTTTAAATTTTCAAAGCGCGATATTTTTGGTGTGGTACGGGATTCCGATCAAAAAGTCATTTATTTGTGGAACACTTTCAAACCATAATATGTGTGGGAAATTTCATTAAAATCGGAAATGGTAAATCCGAAAATACCTGTTTTCTATCCGTTTTGATATGGATTCTCCCAGGAATGTAATTTAATCTTTAAAATCGGAAATAGTAAAAAAATTGTTCAGTCCAAACTCATTGAACAAACACCACTTGTGCGTGTGTAGTGGTGATTTTATAGCCAACACCACTATAGTAGGGAGTGTATTATGCGTTTATGCTGATGTTTGTAACACCCAAAAATATTGGTCCTGAGATAATTTGATGAAATTTGGAACGTGTGATTTTTTTGGTCCAAGGACGATATTGAAAATTGTTGAAATCGCTCCATTATTTCACCTAGCAAAAAAACTTATTAAACTTAGCATTATAATCCTCGACCGGAAATTAAAATGGAGACACCACATAAAGGATAGGATCAACAAGGCACATCGGTGCTGGGCGATATGTAGGAGAACTATAGGCATGAAATGGGGTCTTTGTCCTACTATGACTTGGCTTTATAAAAGTGTAATTAGACCAATTCTAGCTTATGTTTAATAATCTGGTGTACTGCTTTGGACAAAAGTGCAATATCAAACTACTACAGGGAGTTCAGCGTACATGCTGCTTGGGTATAAGTGGTGCCATGTGTACCAAGGCTCTGGAAACATTACTAGATATTCCACCCATTGAAACGTATTTAAGATATGAGGCGGCGCTTACAGCCGAACGGCTCTTTACTTTAGGCAAACTGACCAAAAGCGGTTATAGGACACGTCATCAATGTATACAGGACACATTGGAAGGTTATTGACAATCATCGGACGTGCCTGATCGTATACCAGACACAGAATATGTCGGAAACTTTGAAATGCTGATCCCAGATAGAATGTCTTGGTCAAGCGGAACATTAGAGCAAATACCAGTACCAAATGCCCATATTGGGGGACAAAGTGGCTGGGATTCTATATTGAAGACCCAGAAACAGAAATATACCACCGTTTACCAAATCATAACACAAGCTTCCAGGCAGAAGTACGAGCAATAACAGAATGCGTAAATTGGATTAGAATAAATATGGCGCCCACAGCGCTTAATATATTTACCGACAGCCAAAAGGCAATTAGGGCGATATCAGGTGATCTGAATCTAAGACCATATGGATTATAAGAAAGCTTTAACTGAATGCTCTCCCAGAGGTAAGGTTTACATCATATGGGTACCAGTCCACTCGGGAGTAGTCGGCAACGAAAAGGCGAATGTAATAGATTTAAAGGGAAGGGAGCTCGAGGCCGTTAACCAGATAAACGCAAAACCATTCGACGAAACAAAAGCTGAACTAAAAATATGGGTGAGAGAATCCCATAAGGCCTCTTGGAATAATGAGACAGTGGGAAAAACCACGAAGATCCTATGGGGTGACCCTGATGAGAGCAATACGAAAAACTCCTCAAAATGAGCAAGTCTGAAGTTAGTATGATATTACGTATTCTGAGTGGACACACAGGATTACGAGCACATCTATGCAAAATTGGACGTGCGGATTCAGACGAATGTAGAGCATGTGGAGAGGACAGTGAAATTCTGGAGCCTTTCTTTGTCACTGCCAGGCATTTGTCGAAGTTAGATCCAAGTATCTTGGAACTGATGTCATTCCGGAAATAACATTCCTGACTAACACTGATTGGAAGATTCTTAGGAATTACGTTGAGGAAACTGTGTTTCTGAACAGTGAAAAATAATTCATTTAGTGAACTTTTTTTGTTCATGATAAGGAGCGCACAACATGCCCGATAGTGGCCTAGGTGTATTTCTTCGAAAATGATGTAGCATACGTCCTCCTATCAACCTAACCTAACCTAGTTTTATATAAGTCTTAATAATTCTAGCGTTTTTCGTAAAGATCGGGTCGGATCAGAAAATTACTTGAATGTCAACAATTCTCTTATAAACACTAGTATCTCGATGAAATTTGGTACAAATAAACATAATTTACGACAATAAATTTTATAAGGATCCGATCAATTTCTGCCCTAGCCCCCATATAACTGGACCCTGGGCCTTTTATCTTTTAACTACGTCAAATATACTGCTATCTTTCCAAAAATCAGCATAATTAAGTTTGATATTATTATAAATAACACTGTCGATTTTCGTAACGATCGGGCCTCATTTAACCCTGGCCCCTATACAAAGTCCCCCTCAGAAATAAATCGGAACCTTCCGATTTGGGCCGTTTATCTCTTAACTACGTCTAATATACTACTATCTATTCACAAATCGGCACAATGCACATAGGTCTGGCTTATCATGTTTTTTAGCCAAAACTATAAAAATATTATTTTTACATTGAAAATTTATTATGTATTAATTTGAGATAATTTTATATAAATTTCCGCGTTTTTAATCCTTTTGTGACCAATTAAAATATTGGAGGTATTTTTGAAATTTTTTATTTTTTAAGCAAAAATTAGCTTTAAAAACAGTCTATTTGTAATTAAACGGCAATTAATTAATGGCAAATATTTGCCAACAAATTGATCTAACCATTTTGTTTTATTCTTAATTAAAGACCCTATAAAATTCGAACCAAAAAATAATATTAAAAAAAGTTTTTTAAGAGAATGTTATATTTAAAAAATGCATATCTTAATTAAACGGGCAAGTTATAGCGAAATAAAGTTATTGTAAATATTTCCCAATATTATGACTCGATTTCTGGTTTTTATATTTTTCTCACATTTTAAAACAATATGTTTTATTCCAAAAAAAATTCAGGTAATATTTTTTTAAAATGTAAATTTTTAACTAAACGGGCAAGTTATGTTAAAACTACTTGAAGGCAAATATTTCCCAACAGATTGGTCTAATATCGATTTATTATACTTTTCTCAACACTTTAACCATTTCAGTTTTATTCTTAATTAAACAAATTCAGATATTTTTTAATAATGTCAATTTTTAACTAATCTCACAAGATATATTAAAATTAATTGGTGGCAGATATTTCCCAACATATTGGTCAAATTTAGATTTTTTATATTTTTCTCAACACCTTAACCATTTTTAATTTATTATTAATTAAGGTCTATAAACAAATTAAAGTATTATTTTTAAATAATGTCAATTATTAACTAAACAGGCAAGATATATTAAAATTAATTGATGGCAAATATTTCCCAAATATTGATGTAATTTCGATTTTTTTTTATTTTTCCCAGCACTTTAACCGCTTTGTTTTATTCTTAATTTAAGTCTGTATAAAAATTGGAACCAAAAAAATATTTTTTAAGCGAAGCAATGTTTAAATAATGCGTATTTTTCATTAAACGGTCAAGTTTGGGCAAAATAAAATTATTGCAAATATTTCCCAACACAGTGGTCTAATTTCGGTTTTTAATATTTTTTCAACACTTTTAAACATTTTGTTTTATTCTTTATTGAAATCTATATACGAATTCGAACCAAATAATTTTTTAATGAATAAAATATATCTCATATATTTTGTACACCAGCCAAACTTTTTATATTTAACTTTTCAGAAGTAAAATCTATATTATTATCATTAATTTAAATAAGTAATATGTTTAGTGTATTCTTTCCTTACCTAAAAAATCTGTTGAAAAAGAATAATACCAACATTTTAGAAATATATATTTTTTTAAATTTATGAAAAATAAACAAAAGTAAAATTGTTTTATCGCGGTCTAATGTGTAGTAGTTTTTCCAAATAATAGAAGTATATTTTATAATCGTTCAAGTGCTTACTTTAACACTGCAGTACCTAAAAAGTAATTGTGCGATTTGAGTTTTGGCCATAAATATTTGTCCTTAAGTCGGTTCAGAATCACTTTCTGATTCGATTAAGCTACGTCCGTCTTTGTGACCGTGTGAACCTTGTGTGTACGCTACATACATACATACATATATACATACATACATACATACATACATACATACATACATACATACATACATACATACATACATACATACATACATACATACATACATACATACATACATACATACATACATACATACATACATACATACATACATACATACATACATACATACATACATACATACATACATACATACATACATACATACATACATACATACATACATACATACATACATACATACCCTGTAGGATTTTGTGAGTTAACTAAAAATCAAGTTAACTTTTTGATAACTTCCCAGCAAAAACTGGGTAATGGCTTTCAGTTGTAATTACTTACCTATCAATATACTTTTCAATGACTACTAAATATCGTTTGGATTACATAGAAGTAGTATGATAATGTCTTACTAATAATGTGTTATATAACTAATTTCTAATTCATTAGTAATCTTGCCAGTAAAAATATAGAAGCTGTATACGTTTTTTCATGCGATTTACAATGACTACTTTTTCTAATTACTTGTAATCGTTTGCGGTAAGTACTTGCCTCCAATGACATCACCATGTTAAAATAATGACTTAAAATGCTATTGTGTAAGTGAATTTTAGCATTTTAATCCCTTACATGGTAATGAAAGTTTTTACTGGGTTCTTATGACTAGCTTCAAAGTAACTCAAAAATGATCGAGGAAATGAACAAACATTTCAATAAAATTTTAAATAAAAAATAAAATAGAAACTCGTATCAAATTTGTCAAACAATTTGTATTGAAAAAATGAAATTATGAAAATGAAAATTTGTTTCAGCAATGAAAAATTAATTAATTATTATTAAATTAACATTTTCAGGAATATAAGACATAGATAATGGTGTATATAGGAAGGAAATGTTGCTGCATATTGAACGCATTTATTATCACCAGGGAAACCGAAAACATGCTCTAAAAAAAGTGTTTTAAGCGCCGTAAAAAACTCAAAATATACTCTTAAAATTTAAAAAATATGCTCCAAAAATAAAATTTTTCATTATTTTTTAACATTGAAAAGCTCAACAAGATAGAAATTGTAATGAAATAATAAATGTTTAGTGTCATATTTCATCCTACAAGATTTTTATAATTGATTCATCTCATAGTTTGAAGAACTAGTTTAATAGAATTCCGTTTTACGTTCAGATAACCAATAAATAACATGAAACCATTTGGACCCCAAAAAACTATTTCAAGCGACAAAGTTTGACATATTTCTTCCAATTGTATTCATAGCTTCTAAACTGACATTTTAATCGGTGTTGTCATAAATTCCAATAATTAGTTTTTTAAACTATAAAAATGGATTGGTCTCATGAAATCAAAAGTAATCGGTTTTATGTCTGATTTAAAATTTGATGCTTTATTGAACAAAAAACTATAACATTGGTTTTCATGAGAATAATATATTTTTTGCAGTTTTTAAGTTCTCCAATGAATTTTTTTCAAAATTGTAAAATAGGCTAAAAAAATTAAAAATAAAAAAATAAAATTTTATTTTTTTTTTAAATAAAGTTTTGAAAATGTACAAAAGCGAAAACATCAAAATATGCACTAAAAGAGTAAAATATGCTCTAAAAACTCGAAAATATGCCTTAAATATGCTAAAAAAGTCAAATCATGCGAAATTATGCTCTTATGGGTAAAATATGCAAAAATATGCTCTAACAAATCGATGCCAAAATTCTTAAATTGGCCTGAAACGTGTAAATATCTTATCCATGAGTCCATACGACGCACCACAAAAAACATGCATTTGCATATTTTGGTTTCCCTGATTATCACTAACAATTTGTTAAAATAGTATAAAAATATAAGAAAATTGCAGAGGTAACTCACAGCTGATCTTTTATTTATGCACTAGAAGCTAACTCATCTTGAGGTAACTTCTGGTTAACTGAAACTGATGTATAGTGAGTGAGTACTGACTCGTTCCTATGACATCACATTGAAAAACTGAATAGTATTTTATAAGCAAATTGGTTAGCTTTTGAGTCACCTCTGACTCATTTGTGGTTAACCATAAGTTAGTTTTACATACATACATACATACATCATTCAACACGTGTTTTATTATCTTCATAATAAAATTTTCGAAACCATTCGATTCACAATCAATAATCTAACTGCCTGTTTCACAATATCGAAACAACATTTTCTTTCTTATAAATATATTGAAAACAAAATTTTAAATTTATTTGTTGTTTTCAATATATTTGTAAGAAAGAAAATGTTCTTCCGCATTTAGAGAAACCGGCAGTAATAAATAAAAAAAATTTTTAAAGATCACTTGCATGTCCATCAATATACATATCGCACACCTAGTACAAAAGTGACACAACTCAAAATTTTATTTTTGCGTTTTTATATTCTTTAAGCCTTAAGTTTAAGCCTTAAACTATACACAAGATACTTGTTTAACTCTACAAAAATATTAGTGTATTTTGTTGTTGTTAACTGTTCAAGAAAAAACGTTATGTCTTTCTTTATCTTTCAGAATTTGTAAAAAATTTGTTTCCTTTTCTTTAAAAAATTTTTTTGAGTTGTGTCACTTTTGTACTGGGTGTGCGATATGTACATACATAACTACAGATAAAAAACATTCAAATTTAAATAAAAAGGTGGACAATATTTTTCTTATACTTTCCCACTTTTGCTTTGTCAGACCGTCATAAAACCTACGGCTACACAATCACACATACATAATTATTTCCCATATTATTGGTTCTTTTTTACTACCACAACAGAACCTGTTTCTTGCACACACATTTAGCTCGAATTTAACTCGAATTCGCTTACGAAGCGAATACAAAACACATAAAACTCTAATTAAAATTGTGCTCGCGTGTTGAAAAATAAAACTCGCGATTTTGAATTTTAAAACGAGCGATATAAATAAAATAGCGATCGCGAGCGATATTTTTACCTACCCTGAAATTTATCACATACTCTTCTCTGGATCCAACGACGAAGGCTGTTGAAAATTATTGAAATCCGTATTTTATTTCTCCTAGTCAGCATATAACCGTACATGAGCAGACATTATTTGGAACCTATGTAAGATTCACCATAAATGCTTTATATTATTTAAAATGAATCACATTTATTAATCGGCCACGCCCGACTATAGTTTCTTATTTGTTTATTCTATCATTAGTGCAGATAATGCTCATATATTTAAAAAATATCATCCATAATATATTTTATAAATAGTGTAAACATTTTTAAAACTAAGAATTCTTTTACATTTTCAGAAATTTTGTAAAATCTTTACGAAATAAGGCGACACATATGGCTAAAGGCCTTGTACATCACATTAGTTCAACTAGATTAAAAAAAAATAACAATACATTTGGAGATATTTCGTAAGTACAATTATTAAATTAATTTGAAAAAAAAAAACTACCAAATTATTTTTGGTTATTTATATCGAAGCTGCCTATATCCTTTTTAAGTTTAAAGAAAAACAATTAACCAAATCGTTAGCTTCCCAGGAAAAACTTACATTGAAAAGTAATGAGTTAAAAAGCTAATAAAACCTATTTTCACTACTTCTTTATTAGCATTTTAAGTCATTATTTTAACACGATGATGTCATTGGAGGCAAGTACTTCTACGCACGCTTACAAATAGGGAGTTAAAGAAGTACTTGCAATTTCTCTTACAAATAAATTGTTTAGTAGGTAGGTTGATAGGAGGATGTATACTACATCAAATCCGAAGAAATACACCTAGGCCACTATCGGGCCTGTTGTGCGCTCCTTATCACGAAAAAAGGGAAAGGAATGTTATTTCCGGAATAACATCACTTCCAAGATACTTGGGTCTATGTTGTTTAGTAAGTTGTTTTATTTTTTAATAATAAAAAGAGCCAGGTAGAATACGAACCAGCAACTTCGGTTTGTTAGTCTGTATTTGTTAGTTTGTATTTCGCTAATTATACAATACAAAATCGCGAATTTTATTTTTTAAAACGAGAGTACAATTTTAATTTGAAATTTTTGTTTATTGTATTCACTTCGTAAGTGATATTTACATGTTTTTGTTTTTTTTTTTTTCAACTTTTTTTGATAGATATCCCACTCGCATCCCATTATGGGTCTATAAAGCCCTTCAAATAAATTGTATAAGCTTTCTTTTAAGTAAAAAAGGGCCCATTTTGGAAAAAAAGAAAAAAAATATAAAACGAGTAAGAGTCCTATATTCGGCTGTGCAGAATCTTACCCAGCAAAAACTCGGTAATGGGTTGTACTTCCATAACCACTTACTTTTCAATGACTACTACTTACCGTCTGTAGAAGTCCGTAGAAGTACTCTAGTAATGACTTTCTTATAATCTGATATAGAAGTACTTTATTTTCGGCTTTGTCGTTTTGTTTGCACATTTTATTTAATTGCGTTTTAAGAGTTGTGTTTTACAAAAAATAAACAAAATTAGTTTTGTAGTGAAAGCCATTATTTGACGCGCAATAAAATAGCTAAGCAGTGGTGCAGTCTGTAGAACATTTGACTAACAAACCGAAGTCCCTGGTTCGTATTCTAGCTGGCTCTTTTTATTATTAAAAAACAAAACAACTTACTTAACAACTGTTTTGTAAGAGAAATTGCAAGTACTTCTTTAACTCCCTATTTGTAAGCGTGCGTAGAAGTACTTGTCTCCAATGACATCACCGTGTTAAAATAATGACTTAAAATGCTAATGAAGAAGTAGTGAAAAGAGGCTTTATTAGCTTTTTAACTCATTACTTTTCAACGTAAGTTTTTCCTGGGTATATACCCTTCACCATGTTAAATTAAAAAATTATTACAAAAATTCAAAAAATACCAGTTGTAAAACGAAAAATTATCAGAAAGTCGCCTTTTATAGATTTTCAATCAATCAGGTTGTTGCGTATGTGCATAAAAACCAAAGATTGTATCATTCATAGAACAAAAAAGTTGATAAAATCGTTTCCTTTTTTGTTTGTATTAACTTAAAAGTACTAAAAAGACCCACTTTACATGTTCTCACTATAAATACAAAAAGTACCTTCTGGAGAACAAAAAAGTACAAAAAAGCCAATAACAACATACTGCTTCGTTCGTAACGTGACGTGACGTCATGCTCAGCTTTGTTTTTTATACTCTACACCACTGTAGTCGGAAGGGTTTTATGCGTTTGTGCTGATGTTCGTAACGCATTAAAATATTAATACTATACCCACCTTAAAGTATACCGATCGACTCAGAATCACTTTCTGAGTCGTCCGACCGTCCGTGTGTCCATGTAAACGTTGTTATCAAAGTACAGTTCGCAATTTTCAATATAATTTGATGAAATTTGACCCAGGGACGAAGCCTATTGAAAACGGTTAAAATCGGTCCATTATTTCACCTAGCCCCCATACAACTGAACCCACCGAAAAAGGCTTTTGAGCTCATAATTATGTATAATATAAATGTATCTCGATGTAAATGTATCTCGACAAATTCCCCTTCAGAAAGTGACTTGAATATCTGCAATTCATTTATTAACATTGGTATTGGAATGAAATTTAGCACAGACAAAAGTTATATATGAATACAAATCTATCCAGCCCATTTTATCGGGATCGGTTCACATTTGCTCCTATCCCCCATATAAAGCCTCTTGTAGAAAATAAGTTATTCGTCAATAAATTGCTTAAATAAATCGGAATCGAATATTCAAGATAAATGCTTTATTATGAAAAATAAATCACATTTAATTTTCATAACTGGTGTAGGGTATCATATGGTCGGACAAGCTCGTCTATACTTTCTTACTTGTATAAACAATAAAAAATTTACCGTATGTATGTGTTTTGTTGTTGTAGTTTACAGCTTCTGTCTCAGCATGAATAAAATATATACATTTTTTATGAAATTTTCAGAGGTTGTCTCGGATTTTTGCTCATATCTCCGGTATTTATGGACCGATGGACCGAATTATTAAAGATTCGGATCTCGCCGATATCTGGAGTCCTCTAAAAACTGATTTCAACAGAAATACAGACGGACAGACGGACATAGCTTAATCAACTCCGCTACCTATAAGGACCCAGAATATATATACTTTATGGGGTCGGAAGATTATATTAATAAGAATTACAAACGGAATAACAAACTTATATATACCCCTCTCACGAAGGTGAAGGGTATAAATATGGAAAGAATGAAGAAATAGCTATCTGAACTCCTTTGGACAATTTTCGCTAAGACCAATAGGTGAAAAGTTACACTCATTTGAATAAAACCCTGTATGACCAAAATGTCTAACTTTGACCCCCTCTGACTCCGGCAGTTTGTATGTATGTACATTAGAGGTGTCCAAATAATATCAATTTTGCTCAGATTGGTCTTATTTTGGTTATTAGTGTCTAAAACTTAAATTTTATTCAAAGTGGATAACGATATCCCGTACCAGAAACCGATTGAAAAGTGTAAAATTGGGAAGAAAATATGACTTTTTTTAATATCTTCAAAAATTTTGCCATTAAAATTATATATTCTTAACATTTCGAACAAATATTATCTTCTAGAGAAAATTAGCTTTCTAAAAAGGTATAAAATATTAATAACAAGCGACAAATAACAAAGTTATAGGCATTTTCTTTTCAATAATTAATACTTATTTTACTCGATTTTTTTTTGTATAGATATATTTGTTTACCTCACTTCTGCTTGCAAAACAAAGACATAACAATGCAAAAAATGCATTATTTTTTTAATATATGTCTTGGGAAATTGTCAATAACTTTGTTGTTTTATAACTCATTGGATAGACAATTTTCTCTAGAAGATAATATTTGGTCGAAATATCAAGAAAATATAATTTTAGTGGCACAATTTTTGAAGAATTAAAAAAAGTCCTATTATTAACCTCTATTTAACGCTCTTTAAATTTTCAACTCTTTTCGCTAGCTTAATTTTTAAACTCGCGAGTCAAAACATGAAAAATTTAAATCACTCGAATTAAATGCGCTCGCTATCCACACGCTAATGTAAACACAGTTTTCTTTTTCATTTCTCGTTTTAATTCCTTAAATTAATATCTATTCAATATATTCTATTGTTTATTAAATAAAATAAAAAATTCAATTGTAAAGTGTTCTAGTTGTTTTCATTTCTTTGTTTTAATTTTCTTAATACATACTAATACACATGAATTCTCAATATAAGAATAGCTTCAGTTTAAAGTAGGGAACCCAATCCAGAAATCCCGATACCGAAAATTCCGGATGAGATAGAAATAATATTGGAAGCCAGTAGAAACTACTTACTTTTGGGGGGAATAACTACATACTTATTTTTGTTCGACGTTGTCCAAAAAATAAGTAGTTACCTAAAACGACTAAATATGTTATTTGCTTACAGAAAATCTGCGGACAATGGGTTTTTGGTTTGTTACAAATTGTAAACAAATAACTATGGGTTTTTTGGCTTGTTACAAATTGTAAACAAATAACTATTTATATATACTCAAAACGAACAAATAATAATTTTCATATTCTTATTGCAATTACAAAAATAAGAAATTAAATTTTCCCCAGCCGAGGTTTGAACCCAGGCGTTCAATTATTGTCAAACAATGCCATTTCGAAGAAGATTATCGGAATCAAGCAGGGCTCGAACCACCAACCTCTAAAATTGTTAAACAAGTAAGAGTGTCCCATATAAATTAAATACAAAAATTAGTTTATTTTGAAAACAATTACAGTTAGAATCTTAAAATTTTGCACGAATAACTTTAACATCCATTTAAACATTTTGAGTAATAAATTGGCGGCCTACCCATGAGGGGATCGGCACCTCCCATATTAATTAAATACAAAAATTCGTTTATCTGGGAAATTAATGGAACTAAATTCTTCAAATTTTGCACGAAGACCTTAAATATTCATCTGAACATTTTGGAGAAAAAAAGCGGACTCTATTAGAGCTAGAATATTCAAACATTCATCTGAATATTTGGAGTATAACGGGCGGATTTTCAATGGGGAACTTGGCATCTCCCATATGAATTAAATATAAAATTTCGTTTATCTGGGAAACTAATAGAACTTGATTCTTAAAATTTTGCACAAAATACTTTAATATTCATCTGAATATTTTGGAGGAAAAAGCGCGGACTTTCATGTGGGGGCTTCAAGAAAAATTCGTATATCTGAGAAACTATTAGAGCTTTTTACATGAAGAACTTTGACATTCATGTGAACATTTAGAGAATAAAGGGCGGACTTTCAATGGGTGGCTTGGCACAACATATATGAATTAAATACAAAATTTCTCGGAAACTCTTATATTATTCAAATTTTTCATAGATACATAGATAGAAATTGGCGATAGATAGAAACTGGCGAACTTGCAATAATTTGCTTGACATCTCTCATATGTAACATATTATAAATCTAGAAAACTATTGTAGTTAGAATCTTCAAAATCGTTAAGTGGGTTTTTTTATTTATACATATTGCTTTTAGGGTAGCAAAGCACACTTGCATATAAAACAGACTGTTTGTTTGCTTGTTTGTGTGTTTGTTTGTTACTCTTTCACGGTAAAACTACTGAACCGATTTACATGAAATTTGGATCGCTAATAGGTCTAACCCCAAAAGAAACAATAGGCAATTTAAGAACATGATCGGATTTCACACCCTTTTTTACGCCCACTTTTTGTAAAACTATTATTACACCAAATTTGCAATCATAATATGCAAAAACTACTAAGCCGATTTACCTGAAATAGGTATAAGCTCGGAAAGAACTATAGACTATATATGCTGGATAGGACGCCCCGTCCCTTTTTAAGCCAACTTTTTGTTAAACAATTATTACACCAATTTTATGTTCAGGCACATAAAAAATTACTGATCCGATTTTCATGAAATCTGTTATATTGAATATTGTGGAATGAACAGTACGAGACATCTTCAAAACGTATATAATAAATATATATGAGACTCTTTTTTTACTCTTTCACTACATAGGTTAGGTTGATAGGAGGATGTATAGTACATCAAATCTGAAGAAATACACCTAGGCCACTATGGGGCCTGTTGTGCGCACCTTTTCATGAAAAAAAAATTGTTCACTGAGTATATTATTTTTCAATGCTCATAAACTCAGTTTCCTGGGCGTAATTCCTAAGAATTTTCCAATCAATGCTAGTCAGGAATGTTATTTCCGGAATAACATCACTTCCAAGATACTTGGATCTAACTTCGACGAATGCCTGGCAGTAGCAAAGAAAGTGCTCCAGAGTTTCACTGTACATGCTCTACATTCGTCTAAAACCGCACGTCCAATTATGCATAGATGTGCTCGTAATCTTGTGTGTCCACTCAGAATACGTACCATCATACTAACTTCAGACTTGCTCATTTTGAGGAGATTTTTCGTCTTGCTCTCATCAGGGTCACCCCATAGGATCTTTGTGGTTCTACCCAGACAGACAGAAAGAAACATTTTAGGGGGTGCCCGCAAAAAAGTTTTGACATTTTTTTACCCTATGAGAGAAAATTACTCTAACTACCCAGGAAAATGTTACATTGAAAAGTAATAAGTTAAAAGCTAATAAAACCTCTTTTCACTAGTTCTTCATTAGCATTTTAAGTCATTATTTTAACACGGTGATGTCATTTGAAGCAAATACTTCAACGCCCAGCAAAAAAAGACGTGCAAAAAAAGTAGTAAATGCATGGGTTGAACTGATAATGAACTGGTTCATATTTAGGGGAAACATGCATGATTTTAACATTAGCGTGTCATTGGCATGCATGTGTTCGTATTTGGAAAAATAGTTCGCCATTTAAATGAGTTCTTATAACCAATGAATATTCGATGATTCTCAAGCGAATTTTCATTGGTGCACTATATTTATTTAAAAATGCATTAATAATGGTATTTCGATTTAATTATCAATATTTAAATAATTTTTTTGTGTGATATTGATAAAAATAAAATAAGATAAAACATAACTAACTGATTTTTATTGGATTTAAATTCATGCAGAGGAAAAATACCCATTGTGTTTTAAAATCCGTTAAACAGTCTTGGTTTTTTCCTTCTCTTATTAATGTTAAAATGGACTTAATATTACTAGGTAGGTAGGTACCTACAAAAACAAAAATCTAATAAAAAATTAATGTAATTTTTAATATTTATTGTATGAAATGCACGTTTTCGTTAAATCTCCTAAGAGAATACCAAATTATAGTAAAATATTACAATTCCTATAGTGGAGTTACATGAGTGAATTTGGGTACATTTTTCATGCCTTCACTGATGACAAATTTATTAGAATTTAGGCATGTATTTAAAACGCATTAAATAGAATACGTACAAAAGAAATCATGAAAATATCCCTTCTTCTTTAACAACTTCAAATTTTTTTTGCTGGGCGCTAGCTTACAAATAGGGAGTTAAAGAAGTACTTGCAATTTCTCTTTCTTTGTTTAGTAAGTTGTTTTATTTTTTAATAATAACAAGTTAGAGTGCTATATTCGGCTGAGCCGAATACCCTCCACCAGCTACTTTTATATTAATAACCTTTTAGTTAATAAAATATTTTTGGAAATAGGGTTTCTCATGGTTTTTAATAGAACGAGCAAAGATTTAAATATTTTAAATCTGTTACAATTGCAAGTTTTTTCGCAGCATTATACCCACGATTTTCTATAATATTTTATAGCACCATAAAATATGCTTTAAAGATATTTAATAAATTCCAGGTATGCATGTGTGTGAAATATTTAAGGAAATTTAGATACATATGTGTTATTCAGAATTTGTTTATACTAAATTAATTTTATTAAAAAAAATTACAATTATATACGGTTAAAGTGTTGTTCTTTAGTTCCATGTGATACCAGAACAGCAACTCTTTCTGTTCTGTAGCCTGGTAGTAGTTGTCCATCCCAGTGTACGCAAACAGCCTCG